TGCTTCATCACAGCCCTCCACTGAGACAGAATAACAGAGCAAGGGAGCTGGAAGGGACCTTGGAGGTCATCTAGTCCAACCCCCTCCCTGCTCAAGCAGGAAACCATATACCATTCCAGACAAGTGGCTGTCCAGTCTCTTCTTAAAAACCTCCAGTGATGGAGCACCCACAACTTCTGAAGGTCAGTCATTCCACTGGTTAACTATTCTCACAGTCAGAAAATTTCTTCTTAGTTCCAGGTTGCTTCTCTCCTTGATTAATTTCCATCCATTGTTTCTTATCTTGCCTTCTGGGTGCTTTGGAAAATAAATTGACCCCCCTCTTCTTTGTGGCAGCCCCTCAAATACTGGAAGACTGCTATCATGTCTCCCCTAGCCCTTTACTAGATTAGCCATATCCAATTCCTGCAACCATTTTAAATATGTTTTAGCTTCCAGACCCCTAATCATCACGACCCTCACAAGCTTCTGATCTTCTGGCCGCCCCATGGAGGCCTGGTTAGAACCAGGATTTGGGGTCCCTTCCTGCTGCTGTGGGCCCTTGCCTTCTTTCCCAGTCCTTGATTCAGGAGCAACTTGGGGTCCTCCTGGACTCACAGCTGTCTTTCGAAGAGCACTTGACGGCTGTGGCCGGGAGGGCGTTTTATCAGGTTCGCCTGATTCGCCAGTTGCGTCTCTTTCTGGATCGGGACTCGTTAAATACGGTCACTCATGCCCTCGTCACTTCTTGCCTGGACTACTGCAATGCTCTCTACATGGAGCTCTCCTTGAGGAGCACCCAGAGACTCCAGCTGGTCCACAATGCGGCCGCACAGGTGGTTATGGGAGCGACGGGGCGCTCCCATGTGACTCCCCTCCTGCGCGAGCTGCACTGGCTCCCGGTGGTCTTCCGGGTGCGCTTCAAGGTTTTGGTTACCACCTTTAGAGCGCTCCATGGCTTAGGACCTGGGTATTTACGAGACCGCCTTCTGCCACCAGTGGCCTTTCACCGACCAGTTCGCTCCCATAGAGAGGGGCTCCTCAGGGTGCCGTCGGCCAAACAATGTCAACTGGCGGCCCCCAGGGGTAAAGCCTTCTCTGTGGGGGCATCCGCCATCTGGAACGAGCTCCCCCCGGAGATACGGAGGATCCCGGACCTGCGCGCTTTCCGCCATGCCATCAAAACATTTCTTTTCTAGCAGGCCGGCCTGGCCTAACCTCTCTTTTAAAGTTTTTTAAAATTTTTAAAAAATTTTAAATTTTAAATTTGTCTTATGAATTTGGGGTGTTTTAAATTTCATTTTCTGGGCCAATTATTTAATTGTATTTTAATGGTTTTTTAACATTTATATTATATGTATTTTATTTGGCTGTTCACCGCGGTATACAAATTCAATTAATAATAATAATAATAATAATAATAATAATAATAATAATAATCATCATCATCATCATCATCATCATCATCATCATCATCATCATCATCATCATCATCATCATCATCATCAGACAACCGTCTGCTCCTTTCATGCCCTTCACAAAGCATTGTCAGGCCTGTAAATGTAGTGCTGATGGACAGACAGCTTGTGCGGCAGATGAGGTTGGTGAGCTCTCCATGAAAAATTTGCCACCAACACCAGCAACAGCAGTAGCTTCCAGTCCCTCGTGCACTTTTGTCCCATGTTGGCCAAAGAAGGATCATTCTCTCCCTCCCCACCGCCCCCTCTCTTATTACACTTGCCTGTTGTCAGAGCTCAAGGAGCCAGCAAGAGAAGGTCAGTGTGTGCGTGCAGGGAGGTCAAACCGGTACCTAATGGGAGCTTGAGAGGCCAGCCTCTCCCTCATCCCATGCATAACCAGGTGGCAGGTATTGCCTTCCCCTGGAGCAGGTGAGAAGAGCTGCCCAGCCATCAGACCTGGTTGGGTGTCAAACTCAGTTCCTCTCAGAGCAGGTGGGTGTTTTTCCTGCCAGCCCCTTGGCCAGCTCCCTTGCCGAGATGAGCAGAGATGCCTGGAGGCAACAGGGCAGGAGAGGCGCCTCACCTTGTGGGTCCATGAAGACACTAAGCAGCCTGGCCGGAGGAGCCCATGGGCAGCTAAGCACTGATGTGGCCGATTGTGTTTTCCTGCAAGGCTTCCCAACTGCAGATGCCTGGCCCAGGGACTCCCCCCCAGGTGGACAACATTGGGCATAGGTGGGTCTTCCTCTCCCACTATGACACAGGGTGCTGCTAGGAATTGGGCAGAGAGGCTTGGGTGTTGGTCTCTTGTGGAGGCAAATTGCTCTCTGCTACCCCCTCTCCCCCTTCCACCAAAGGCCATTTCCACCTTCAGGTGTCCCAATGGGGCTGCCATGACTGGCGGCATGAAAAGGAGCCCCCCCCCATCACATGACTACCATCTCCTCCTGGGCATTTCTCAGAGTTGAGATGAATGCAGTCTTTTCGAAAGGGCAGCTGAGGAAACTGCTTGCCGTGTGAAGCATGGCGCTTCTAGTAGAAGGACAGGAGGGCATCGTCTGCCCAACCCTCAGTTGAAGTGGGGACTGGCCCATTCAATGGCTGCTGGTGGATGGGCAAGGCGGGCATACTGGGTGGGAATCCGCTTTCTCCAGCCTGCACCTTTTTCCCTGGAGAAACAGCGCCAGAGTGTCTCCCATGGTGCTGCAGAGTGGGGGGGTTCTGTGTCGATCCCGCTCTGATAGTTGTGGCAAGATGTTCTTCCAGTCGGTTGTCTGAACCTGTTCAAGCGTAGCCGAATGATGTGGAAAATGGGCACATTTATGTCTCCCAGTGTAGCATTATTTCCACTCAGCAGTTTTGAGCTCTGATTTCTCCATCTCCCAGCTGGCATTGCCCACAGCCTCCGTTCCTGGGATCCCTCTCTGCCCATTGCCCTGGAAACAGCCAGGCCTTCGTCAGAAAAGCACCACCTATTCAGAATAACAAGAGTTGGAAGGGACCTTGGAGGTCTTCTAGTCCAGCCCCCTGCTCAAGCAGGAGACCCTATGCCTGTGATGGTGAACCTATGGCACGCATGCCAGAGGTGGCATGCAGAGCAGTGGTGAGTTCCTCCCGGTTCCTCCCGGTTCCGCTGAGCCGGTAGCAGTGATGATATGATGTCACCGAACCAGTTCTACCCCCTGCCCCCCCGCATTATTCTTACCTTTTATTTGGCCCCGCCCCCAATCTATTCTCTGCCTCCCGAGTCCCAGCTGATTGGCTAGAAGGAAAAAAACTGTTTAAACTCTTGCCGTGGGGCTTCAAAGGGCCGCCCTACAGCTGATCAGTGTTAAAAGGCAGTGTGCTGGTAGACCAGGAAGCTCCAAGAACAAATGGGTAGACCGGTACAGCTCTGCAAGCAGTTAAAAGCCTGGTAGACCAGTACCTCTGCTAAATCCTAAAGAATTGTCACATGACCATCAAGCCACGCCCACAAAATAAGCCACGCCCACAGAACCGGTAGTAAAAAAATTTACAACCCACCCTTGATGCAGAGCTATCTCTGTGGGCATGTGTGCCATCGCCAGTTGCTCTTTGGATTTCCAGTGCATAAATGCACACCCAGCAGCTTTTTTTTCTGGGTTTCTGGTGCTCCAGTGTGCGCATGTGCGCACATTCTCACAGTATGAAGGGGGCAACAGGAGACAACGGGGAAGGGAGGGGAGGGACGGCCCCAGCATTTCCAGACCCGGAGAGGTGTGAGTAGCTCACCAAGACTTTACCAGCTCAGCCTCACATCAGTCTTTCATGCTCCAAAATGGGGGTGCTGCTGAGAGGCCCTTTGGCACAGGCCGGGGTGTCCCCAGGGGCTTCAGGGAAGGAACTCCGGCAGCTGATGCAGCCAGGAGTAGCTTTTGGCATGGAGAAAGTGTCCTTCTCCCCACCATTGTCCAGAGACATCTCACTGACTTTAAATGACATGCCCCTCCCTGCCCCCAACCCCCAGCAGGCCCTATTTCTGGGGCAGCCGGGCTTCCAGAGGATCCCAGCTACGGAGGTCTCTGCTTTGGCCCTCACTGGGCATCTTTTTTGCATTCTCCTTGCTTAGACTCTGTGACTGCTCCACTCAGGGATGCTGGTGGCAAGGAGAGGCTACAGGACAGCCTCCGTGGCTCCCTCTCCTTGACCAAGAGTGACCACTTGGCCTTCTCTGGCATCCAGAGGGAGCCTCCGTGAAGCTCCCTTGGACAGGGAGGAGCCCAGGAAGAGAGAGCCAGTGCACCAGCGCTTTGCCAAATACTTGGAAGTGGCCCCTTAACAGCCTCCAGGTGCTCTTTCTAAGAAGCAGGTCCATCACTCTGCAACCCGTGAACCCTGCTAGGATGTGCAGGGGGCAGGGGACGCTGGGTGTGACTGAGCTGGGACATATGCTGGGCTCTAAACTGGGGGTGTGAAACGGGAGTAGAATGTCGGTTAGCACCCAGGAAAAGGTTTCTGGGCTCTTTGTGCAGAAGCAGATGAGCAAGCGGCCTGACTCAATCGGATTGTCTCTATCCTGCCACTGCCCCCCCTCCCTTCCTCCCCCTGCAAATGTTGCTGATGAAAACTCTGGAGAAAACCAGAACCACCAACGTCTTAGCAGCACCTCCATGGCTTCATTTTTCCTGCCCTACAAGCTCCAACTCAGTGGTGAAATCTAAAATTTGTTACTATCGGTTCTGTGGGCGTGGCTTGGTGGGGGGGGTTAATGTGACTGGGTGGGCGTGGCCAATTTTTTTTTTTTACTTTTAGAACCATTTTTTCTACAACCTCTTCGGCGAAGAGGTTGCAAAAAAAATGCTTTCAAAAGGCTCTGACGATACCAGCTGAGTTGCCTGATCAACAGAGGCTTTTTTTCTTTTAAATGCCTCTGACGATCCAAGCTGTGTTGCCTGATCAGCAGAGGCTTTTTTTTTTATTAAAAAGTTTTATCCAGTATTACAACAATTTTTTCCCATCCCTCCCCCCCTCCCTCCTCCCCCCCTTCCCTCCTCCCCCTCTCCCTCCAAACCCCCTACCCCCCCACCCGGACTTCCCAGAGCAAATACAGGGTATAACATTTAACAAACATAAACTAAAATATGCTAACTTTCTGTAGGCTCTAAACTCCCTCTTGCTCTTTGACTCCCCTTTCAACTAACAAAACATAATTCAAAAAGAAAAAGGTTGATTTCATTCATAGGCTATTTGAAACTTTTTAGTCCGATATTTGTTTTGAATATAGTCAATCCATCTTCTCCATTCCAATATATATCTTTCATTTGAATGGTCCTTCAAGTATGCCGAAATTTTTGCCATCTCTGCTAAATTCACTACTTTTAATGTCCATTCTTCAATAGTAGGTAAGTCTTCCTTCTTCCAATACTGTGCCACCAAAAGTCTGGCTGCTGTTATTAAATTTAAAATCAATTTAGTCTCTATGACCATACAATCTGTAATTATACCGAACAAAAAGAACTGTGGAGTAAATTTTATCTTCTTTTTGAGAATGTTTTGAATAATCCACCATATTTTTATCCAAAATGCCTTAATTTTTTTATATGTCCCCCATATATGATAATACGTGGCATCATCACATTCACATCTCCAACACTTAGGTTGAAAACTTGAATACATACAGGCTAGCATCTTAGGATCTAGATGCCACCTATAAAACATTTTATAAAAATTCTCTCTCAAGTTTTGGGCTTGCGTAAATTTTACATTTCTAACTCATATTTTTTCCCACATTTCCATCATTATTGGTTCTTCAATATTTTGTGCCCATTTTATCATACAGTCCTTAACTAGCTAGCAGAGGCTTTTTTTTTCTTTTAAAAGCCTTTGACGATCCCAGCTGAGCCGCACGATCATCAGAGCCTTTTTTTACTTTTAAAAGCATCTTTTCGGCCAAAGAGGTTGAAGAAAAAATGCTTTTAAAAGTGAAAAAAAAAAAGCCTCTGATGATTGTGCGGCTCAGCTGGGCATGGGGGGGGAGGGGCAGGGATTTTTGCTACCGGTTCTCCGAACCACCCGCCTCCATTGCTACCGGATCGGGTGATCCGGTCCAAACCGGGAGCATTTCACCCCTGATCCAACTGCAGAAAAGGAAACATCCCATAAGCTTGACGGTCCCAGTTTACCATGTATGGCGCATGAAGCTTCTGAACTGAGGCCGGAGTGACCTTGGCGAGTGCCTGGTGAGGAGATGGTGGTGCTGGTGAGGCTTAATCCGGACAGTGGAGTGGCTGATGCTGCTCCTCAGGCTTCCTCGGGATGGACTGTTTGCATCCCATTGCTCTCTTGGAGCAGCCCAGGAGTGCTTCTTGGTGGTCGGGGTGCCTGCATAAAGACGCCCTGTGCACAAGGGTCTCTCCATGTGCGAGGCTGCATGGGGCTGTGCTGTCGCCCGCCTGTCAGCTCTGCCAGAAGAGAAGTTGTGTGTCAGACGATGAAGGTCACCAGAAGGAGATTTCAATTATTCCGCATCTTCTGTGAGAACTCGGTGCTTGCTGTGGTCCCAAAGGAGTGCATTGTGGCTGCAAGAGAAAGAAAAACAGATGTTGTCTGTGTGTGTGTGTGTGTGTGTGTGTGTGTGTGTGTGTGTGTGTAAGTTTTCTCACTGTTTCCTGAAATCTTCAGGAAAGGCCCACCCATGGTATGCACTGCCCCCCCCCATCTTTTTCTTTCTAGATGGGTCCCTACAAGGTCCTCAGTGCAAAACTAACAGTATCAAAGTACGTCTCCAGCCAGAAGATCTCTTCAACATGAGGGAGGGGCAGAGATGTGGGGGTTCTGGCACCTGTAGAGTCTCACAAGAGAGAGAAAGAAGGGTGCAAGGGTCATGCGTGAGAACATGTATGGACGTGAATGCCCTCCCTCCCCAGTCCTCGTTCTCTAAACCAGCAATAAAGAAGTTTAGGCAATCGCTGAATTGCAAGACCTCCACCCCAGGTCCTCTCTAGGACAGAGAGAGTCTGCCACCAGCTCACTAAGGCAAACAGACCCACCTGCTCTGCATGATGGGGCCAAGTCCTCCTTCCACCTGTTCCCTTCTGATCACACCCCACACTTGTGTAGGTCTCCCGTTCTGGGCACTGGCCTCTGGGAAGGAGGGAAGGCGGATGAAGTGAAGGCCTTGGAAAGAGGGGCAGGGAGGCAGCATGCAGGAGGGAAGACCTATTCTCTGCCGCCCAGAGAAGAATCGGGGGGGTGGGGGGCTCAGGATTCCCCAGGTCAAGTGGCAGTGTGTGTGTGTGTGTGTGTGGGAGGGGCATCCAAAGAGAGAGAAGGCACAGAGCAGCCTTGTGGCTTCATGGCCTCTGCAAGCTTCGATCCTCACACTGAAGAAGAAAGTCACAAAGAAAGGAGACACCACCATTTTCACCCAGAAGAGGAGGGGGCTTCCTTTCTGTTGCTTCAGAAAGCAGGCCAGAAGCCAGCAGGGGAGGGGGGGAGAGACTACAAGGTCCAGCTGGTTATCAGGAAGAATTTACAGACTTCCCAGGCTACCCTATAACATGGTGTCACATTGGGGTGTGTGTGGGAAGGGAAGGTCATTGAACAGAGTGAAGAACATTTGAAACAGCAGCCTCCAACCTTTCTGGCTCAATGGACTGGTGGGGGCAGGGGCGGCTGGGGAGGGAGAGAGGATGGTTTTGTGTCATTCACAAAAGTAGCATCATGCATACACACAGGGGACAGATCTGTGGGGTGCTTAGATCTAGCCCACAGGGCCGTCCTGAAAATAGCGAAGGACTGGCCCACAGTGCCTCTGCCAGTGAAAACTGAGCTCGGGAGTGCCGCACGTGGCCTTTGCAAGCTCCATTTTCGGCTGCAGCAGACTCCTGCAACCCTCTGTCAGCAAAAATGGAGCTTGCAAGGGCCGCGTGCAGCACTCCCGAGCTCAGTTTTCACTGGCAGAGTGCTTGGGCCACCACAGGTGCCCCCAACATGAGTGACACCGAGCTGACCCCACCCCCTGCCCCCCGCCCCCCCAGGTCCAACACAACCCTGATGCGGCCCTCAATGAAATTGAGTTTTGATGCCCCGGCCCCAGATCCTATAATTTTATGAAATCTGAGTAGTCCAATAAGCACAAGTGGTGTATTAACTTGCACTGTTACTTTTGGCATTGTGTTGACTGAAACATAGTTGTATTTCTAGCTGTTTTCCTCGTTCTGAAGCTCTGAGGTCCACTCTAAAAATGATGGACTCAACACTCGTCCTTCGGTTCAGGATCGCTGGTGTTATTATTCTGAGGTTTATTTTTTTCCTGACAGGCTGTTTACTCTCTGGCTTCTTGTGTCCTGCTCACTTCATGTTCAGAATGTTATCTTGACCTGGATTAGGACATTCCCTCTCCCCGTGCAGATGTCCTGGCAGAAATAGAGGCTCTCTGCCACCCACCCACTCAATGCAACCCAGGAGTGGATAGAAAGATTTCGGCAGGTCCTGGCACACAGGGATTGCGTGATTACCATCTCAGCTTTCTAACTGTTCAATCGTGTTTCAGCTTTTGGAACACTCTGCTATTCCCTATTTGATAATGTCTTGTTTTATGCGTTTTTTAATTTGCTTTTAAATCTGCACATTCTAATAGTGATGAGAGAGGACTATCACATTTATTATTACCTGCTTTGGGGATTTGGCAAACAGCAGGTTATATAAATTGCAAAAATATAAATAAACAAAGGAATGAATACAAATCCCAGATTACTCCTTACATTAATTATCATTTGCAAATGGCTTGATTTAATTGCCTTTTAGGAGAGATAGAAGGCATAAAGTTATTATTATTGTTATTGTTGTTTTTTGTCATTTTTTGTCGTCATCATCATTATCATTATTAATAGTAATTGTGGTAGTGGTAGTAGTAGTAGTAGTAGTAGTAGTAGTAGTAGTAGTAGTAGTAGTAGAAGTAGTGTTGGAAGGGAGTGGGCAGTGAGATTGCAAGATAATCCCTTTGCCTTCCTCTCACCCACTCCTTATTTTCAAAACTTCATCCTGGCCTTTGGTGAAAGAGAATGAGGTGCCTCATTTTATTACATTTCCCTGTTGATTTTATTGTACAGGTAGTCCTTGCTTACTGTCCACTCCTTCACCACTCATCCAAAGTTATGACAATGTTGAAAAAATAAATTTAAGGACAATTTACAACCATTTATGATCTTTACAATGGCCCTCAATCACATGTTTGCTCTTCAATACATTAACAGCAATGTGATCATGGTGGGCAGACTTCAATCAGTTCTCTTGAAATCCCTTCCTCTTCAATCTCTCACCTTGCAATGAGAGGGGGGAGAAAAAAGCAAGTAAATTTTGTAGGCAATATGTCCTTTGTTTGACCCTTTCCCCTGCTGGCACAATCTCTTTGTTTTCAATGTGTAGCAGATAAATAGCTAAAAATGTCTTCTATCCAATCTCTCCACTCAAGGAGCCAGGAAGAGTGGGGAAGGATCAGGGAAAGAAGAAATTGCTTACAGAAAATGTTTGCAGAGCAGAGAGATTGAAGAGGAAGGGATTTCAAAAGATAAACTGTTTCTGTAATCTGCCCATGGCTCCCAGCACCATTGAAGTAACATAATTGCAGTAACATGATTTCCTATTATTCATTCATTCATTCATTCATTCATTCATTCATTCATTCATTCATTCATTCATATTTGTAAAATTAACAGGCCACCCATCTTACCTCAAGATAACTCTGGGCAGCTTAGAGACCATTTCACTTAGTGACAGAATCAGTCCCAATTAAGATCATTAAGCAAAGACTATCTATAATTTATTTATTTGATTGTTCTGAGCTGTTCAAAGGTGTTGAGAGTTGAGTGGCATGTAAGTTATCATTTCTTTGTTTTCAGTCTGGGTATATTTGTGGCAAGTAAGCAACTTTTCTCCCAGTAGTTCTGCAGCTGCTGGCACTACTTACTCAGCCAACAGTTCTGAGTTCTGTGGCTCATTTGTCACAAGATATCCAGGAACTCCCAACACCTAATGTGGTTCTTATTGAGCTGGGCAATGACTATAGAGATTCTCCGTCATCCAGGTCCTGGTTGTCCCAAAAGTGCTTTTTTTCAAGAGGCAACTGGACTTTCTGTTTTTTCTTTGAAGATGTTTCGCTTCTCATCCAAGAAACTTCTTCAGAGCTTCCTGGATGAGAAGATAAATGTCTTCAAAGAAAAAACAGAAAGTCCAGTTGCCTCTTGAAAAAGCACCTTTGGGATGACCTGGGCAATGCTTGATCTGGTATGGGCTTCTGTAAATTATGTATCACCATATTGTTTAGAGGAGAGACACTCTTTGTTTGATTACTCTGAGACCTGTCCAGTATTGTTGAACCTCTAGAGTAGGTTTCATCTTCCTCAGAGCACACAAGCCTCACAATCACATCAAAGTAGGGTCTCACTAGAAGATTTCTTTATTATTTTATAGGATTGACATGTGCTCACTAAGTTTTTGGGTAACCAAAACTTTCAAAAAAAAAACTTTGATCCATGGTTTGGATCCATGGTCATTCCAATAGGGAGATGGGTTGACAGATCATAACTGAAGTCCAAGCTGAAAGAACTGAGGGGAACTCATATGAGAGAGATGGGGTTAATTTGGGACCCTTTTCAGAAGCTGAAAAAGAAATGTCAAATGAGCAATGTAGCCCACTTCTGAATTCAGATGGGAAAGGGTTTATTTTCCTCTTGCTAAGAAAATGGCACTTGGAGCTGTGTCTGAGAGATAACTTGGCTTGTACAGTCAGGATATTTGTCTCATGAGGATCTAAGATGAGGCATCATTCTTGTCTCTCTAACAGAATCTTTGAGATGTTCTTAAGTGTTTTCATACCAAGAGTCATACATTTTTAATACACGAAGACAGTTGGGAGTGGGGTTTGCCAGTAAGAGTTCTGATGTTAAATTTGACAAAACTTTTGGTCTTTCAATATCTCTGTCAAGTTCTCCAGCAGAAGAATTAAAATTTCTAATGGATACACAGAAGTCAGGGGGAAGAATTCTTTCTTGGTTTGTTGAGAATTTGTCCTATCCTCTGCCTGTAAATGTCTGAGGGTTCGGCTTAAGGGGGACACTACTTGCCCCATTAAACTGGATATGGTACCTATCCAGTGGTGAAATCCAATTTTTTTACTACCGGTTCTGTGGGCGTGGCTTGGTGGGTGTGGTGTGGCTTGGTGGGCTTGGGCGTGGCAGTGGAAGAATACTGCAAAATCCCCATTCCCTCCCCACTCCTGGGAGAAGGATATTGCAAAATCTCCATTCCTACCCCACTCTGGAGCCAGCCAGAGGTGGTATTTGCCGGTTCTCCAAACTACTCAAAATTTCCACTACTGGTTCTCCAGAACCTGTCAGAACCTGCTGGATTTCACCCGTGTATCTATCCCCATGAAGCAAACTGCAGTCCCCAAGAAAATCCAGATTTTGGTAGGGGGCTCAGAGCTCCCACTGGGCAGAAGGACTTGATGCACTTCTGAAATCACTCTTAAAATGGAGCTTGGGACTTCTCTACTACCTCCCACCCACACATCCAGCAGAAAAGTTTTCACAACGGAGTCTAAGAACTCAACTCATCTGTCCCCTCTGCTTTTCTCTCTGAAACCTGGATGGGATGGTATTTTCTCAGAATTGTGCCACACAATCTTGGCTTTGGCATCAGCTGTGACCCAAAGGAAAGGGGGGAAGGAGGTAGCTGTTATCATCCAGGCTGTCTTGAAGCCTCCCAGAGGCCCTGTAGATGGCCAGATGAGCAGTGCTGGGGTTCAAGGTGGCCTATAGGGCACACTGGGGTTTGCTGCTGGTGCGCCACCCTCTCTGCTGCCCAGCAACATCCTTGCCTGAGATGCTGGATTCCATTAACAAACTAGCAGTGGGTTTTAATCTGATGCCTGGTGGTATCAAGTCCAGGGTGGCTAGGGAGTTTGTGGCAGGGGTGAAATCCAGCAGGTTCTGACAGGTTCTGGAGAACCGGTAGCGGAAATTTTGAGTAGTTTGAAGAACCGGTAAATACCACCTCTGGCTGGCCCCAGAGTGGGGAGGGAATTGAGATTTTGCAATATCCTTCCCCCCAGGAGTGG